CGATCCCTGTTCCCCTAAGGGTGACCCTGGCTGAAGGCGATCCCTGTCGCCCCGAAGGCGATCCCAGCCCCGCCTGAGTGCAACCCCGGCCGAGGGCTCTCCCCGTCCCCCTGAGGGCGCTCCCGCCCCGCCGATCGCGATCCCGCCCCGCTGCCCGAGCCCCGCCCGGCGCGGCCCTTCCCGCCCGCCGTACGCGGCGCTGCCCAACATGGCGGCCAAGGTGAGTGTCCCGCCGCCCTCAGCCCGGCTCAGCTCCCGCGGCCCCGCCGGCCCCGCTCCCCTCAGGGGCTCCCGGGCTCGGGGCAGCCGGGGACGCTCTGCGGGGCCGCTCAGAACCGCCCGGCCCCGCCGGTGCGGCCGGGAAGGAGCCCCGGCTGCCTCGGAACGCGGGGTCAGGTGAAGGAGTTGGGCAGTGACAGGGCTCTGTAGGTGGAAGGAGCTGGTTCAAGAGGGTGGTTCAGTTGTGCAGCAGGGAATAAAATAAGTATTTCTCTCCTGGTTGTTCTCCGTCTACTTGCAGCTCCTGAAACACTTGCAGCTCCTTGCCGGAGCGATGAATATCGGGGCGATAGTTCGGCAGTAACGTTATGAAGTGTTGGTGGTGCTGTGCATCACTGAAACAAGGCTACGAAATCGCGCTGTTACAAACTAACAGGGGCGCGAGTTTCTGAAATACCTTTAGTTGTAAAGGTAATGCAGTGTCTTTAAACATAGAAAAACGTGCATGTAAGGACCTGGGCTTTTACTCGAGTGTTTAGACAGGTTTTGCAGTGTTCATAGTTAAGTTGATGAATAGGTTGTTCTCACGTGAACCTTCATATTTACTTTTGAAGAGTATTTAAAATGTGTTTATATCGACAAAGAAAACGTTGACGCAAGTGAGGACAGCCAAAGAAATGAAAATGAAGCATTTTACATTAGTGTATTATGGGAAAAGGACCTGCTTTGGCTTTGCTGTTTGGCTGGGTGATCTTGAATTGCTATAGATCAGTACATAAATCTGAATGTATCAGTACCTTTAGTGAGGTGACCTAACTTTATGTATGTTCTTTATTATTTACTATAAAAAGTTAATAGCACTTCATTCTGTGGGTCCCCATGTGGCACACAAAAATTAAAACCAAATCCCTGGAGTGTCAGTGAGTTGAGTTGAAGTGGAAGGAGGATGCTCTGCCGCCCTTGTGTGTGGTTTTTCTCATAGTTGTCATTAGAGATTTATAAGTACAAACCCAAATTAGGATACTGGACGTGGCATAGAAGCTTCTGGCAATCCTCATGTCTCTTGTAACTGCTGGGAAAAATAAAGCAAAAATATGTGAGACCTTTTTGTGATCTACCTCAAGACATCTGAGTGCTAGGAGAAAGCCATAAACCCATGATATTATTCTTTAATTAATATTTACTGTTAAGTGTTAATTTTTCTTTAATCTGATTAGTAGGTTCCAATTTGTGATAGAGAACTTGTGTCTTTTTGTATATAAATGCATCAGATTTTTGCATATGCTCCACTTTTTTATTACCTTGGTTGTTTTGAGGCAGTTCCTGCCTTCAGGACAAGTTTCCTGACTTGTGCTCCAGTTCTTGAAGCAAGCACACAGAATTTACAGTTTCAGTGAGAAACAATGTCTTGGAGATTAGCATAAATTAAATATATGGATTTCTTATGGTTTAGTTTGTAGTCTGCATCTTTTGAGTGGAAGATAGTGAATTCTTTGTAGTGATGCAGCTTTTTAACTTCATTTTTAATAGAATCTGTATTTTTGATACTTGATAAGATTCCAGCACTTTGAAGCAGATTGTTTGAAATGCAAAGACTTAAAGCCAAAGTTATCCAGGTACATTTGACAGTTTTATTATTCTATTTTGATTAGTTTTACTATTCTATTTTGATTAGTTTTACTCTAGTTCTACTGTTAAGAGGCGTAGCTGTAACAATTTCCTGCTGGGAGAGTCTGTAATACATTTCTTCAGCAAATAATTGCAGTTCAGTCTTCTCATCAAAAATAACACCATGTCTGTTTTTCTTTGGTGTGCTTTTCATGCCTGGGGAAAACAAACCTGCTGGTTCTAAGTGCTGCAGTGGCAGGAGCATGGCAGTGGTGATACAGAGAATATTTGAACTCTTGTCATTGACCCTCCCTCCCTCCAGAACATTCTGGCTGGTAATTTTTAGTGCCTGTAATTCTGGTGGTGTTTGGGTCTGTGTCCAGACAGAATCCAGAGACATCAGCTGGGCTCATGGCTGTTGTAGCTGCAGCTGTTTCCTGAATTCATGAAAAGGAAGATTTTTGATTTCTTTAGCTAAACAGTATATGAATTTTCTTGTTTCATTCATAGGGCCTTTAAAGTCATTTTTAATAAAATAATTTTAATAGATGGATACTACAAACAACTTAGGTAATCGAGGTCTTTTTAATGCACCCAATCATTAGGTAAGGAACAGGATAAACAGATACAATTTCTTCATGCTTTCTCACTTTTAAATTTCGTTTTTCTTCTTGTAGCTCCAGAAAATTGATGTTGTCCTGGTAGCATTTGGTACTGAAATAAGCAATCTGAATTATGATAGGTTTTAAACAGGTTTTTTTCAATAAATTTTCAAAAATACAGACTTATTGTGATGGACATCCCTTCCTAGATTCTTTACAGAGACTCTTCTGTAGCTCAGACTGTGGCATTTTGCTCCAAGGAACACTGTCAGAAAGACAGTTTTTGTGTTAATTGGGACTTATTTTGATTATCCCCCTCCTCTCTCACCTGTTCTCTGTATCCTGGAGCTGTTGGGTGCTGGGAGAGTTGCCTTGAGGAACTTCTGTGCTGAATGGATTAGAACTGAATTTTCCTTAAGGGGTGGTGGAAGCATCAGCGTGGCTTTGAACACAGAATTCTTCCTGGTATTTTAGGCAGAACTGTTGTCAGTGGTCTCCAACTTTTTCTTTACCACTGTAATTGGAGAAAATCATTGTATAAGTCAGAAGAGGTTCCTAAAAGGCATAAGGTTTATAAAATTCCAGGGGGAATTTTTATCTCTGCATTGACTTCCTTTTTTCCTCTGTCTGTCCCAGGTGGCAAAGCTGGCAGCTGTTTCTTCTGGGCTGCCTTTTATATGTATTACTGTCTATGCAGCAACAGAAAAGGGATCAAAAAGTCAGCTGGTGAAGCCAGATCAGGTACAGATCTTACTGTTTGTTCATCTTTAACCAATGCTAGAAAACCCCCCAGCATGCCAGCTCTTTCCATTGGATTCTGTTACCCAGTAAATCAAACACACAGCAAAGAAATACGTGATGATAAAGTAACTGACCACTGTAGCTCAAATCATAGAATCATATCACAGAATCAACCAGGTTGGAAAAGACCTCTGAGATCATCAAGTGTTTGTTAAAAAAAACCCCTGAAGTATGTTTATTTTGGTACACAGTTTAAAAATATCCTAATACATTAAATATCAGGGATCGTTAAAGCCACTTTTTTAAACCATATCTAGGTGTATATTATTATTTTCAAGGGAGATGGGAACCAAACCACCACATTATATATTTAATTTGACAGTGCAAACAAATGAGAAACTGTTTAGACCAGGAATTCACTGGGTTAGACAGCAACAACAACAATAAAACCTGAAGTGTTGCAATGCTAAATTAGTGAAGTTTTATCTCATTTTCTTTGTTACAATATATCCAGGCTGACGCCAGAAAAGTCTTTTTCTATTGTGCCGTTTCTAGTAATACACACATCCATCTTCCAACTGTTCTTGCTCATGCCTTTGCTGAACAAAAGACCTTTTGTCATACTCAGTGGTTGTGTTTCTTAGATCCTATACAGCAGTTTCAATTTTAATTTCTAAAGGATAACGTGAGGTCACCCTTGTGCGGAGCCAGGTCGTAGCTCTCAAAGTAACTCCCGTGCGGGGGCTTTGTTTGCTGTAATGGGAACACTGAGGGTTTGCAGGCTGGAAAACCCCTCTTCAGTGTCCCCACTATGAGAATACAGAACCATCTCCTTCTTTTGCAGCTCCCCATTTACAGAGCACCCCCTGTGACATCGAGGTACGTCGAGGAGCAGCCGGGGCAGCTGCAGAGCCGCCTCTCGACAGTGCGACGGACAACCGGCCGCTACCTGGGCTGGTGCCAGGTCAGAAACACCCACAGCTCCCTGCACTGCTGCCAGCACTGCCCACAGCACTGAAAAACAGCTCCCTTCACCCTGCAGGGTTCTCTGCAGGGCCTTGTCTTAGCATACACTGATGATTTAGGATGGGAAAACGAAGCATTTTTCTACAGCAGGAGTAGGTCAGTTCTTGGCAGAACTTGGGAGCATTTAGGAGTCTGGAATTCCAGTCCATGGAGTGAGCTGCTTCCAAAGGGCAGGTTAAAATACCTGGTTTAGGTACTTAGGGAGGACAAACTGCATCCCATGTACCTGTTAAAACAGGCTGTCACTAACTAGTCATCCAACCTCCCTGCTGTTACTGCATGTTCTAGGTGTAGAACTGGGATACCTGTCCCTGTTCTCTTACCTGCTGGTAAACAACACCTTTACCCTGGCTTTTGTGAATAGCTTTTCTGCTTGTATTTTGCTCTTACAAACAAATTAGACCCTAATATTTGAAAAAGGCAAAAAAAAAGTCTTCCTGTATTTTCTTGAAATTGTGATTCCATTGGTCTGTGAAAATCTTGTCAGTGACTGCATGGCTGAAATAATCTGGTTATAAATCTGTATCAACCTTCTACATGCCCTTAATCATTGAGTGGGAGTTCCTGACATTGAGTAGCAGTGACCTCTGGTGGTACAAATTCCCTGTTGCTTTCACAAAGTAAAAGGGAAAGTCCGTTTTCCTGGGAAAGCATCTCTAAGGAAGAGAAGATTGTATTTTATAACTGAGTTTTCTTAGCTTATACAGTCAGTGTCCAGGTGTTTTCCTACTCTAAAGTTTTGTTCCTGAGATGTCAGTTTTGAAAGTGAGCTTACATTAAAGAGCTTTTTTTTTACTTAATTGTCACTGGAAGTTTTATAAGTATAAATATGTTTGTCACAAAGGGGTTAGATCTCTGCACAGCTTCTGTAGAAGTTCACTGATCTGTTTTTTTTTTTTTTTAAGTTACACAATATTTCTTTGTCTCATTGTGCTAAGCCATATGTAAACATCTGCTTTTGCAGAGATTTTAATCTTTCTTTGGTTGTTTTTTTTAGACTGCTTATGTCTTTGTTAAAAATGGAATAACGGATTCAATTCAATTTGGAAAAGGTAAGCAAGTCACATATCTCTCCTTTCATCTATATTAACTCACAGTACAATCAAAACTTAGAACTAAGCTTTCCTTTTTCTTTGTTAAAAATTAACATTTTGCAAACCACAAAAAAAAGTACTTATGGAGAAAAATTGTGAACTTTGCTGTGTTTTGAGGGCTGTGCTTCTGGTTCTGATAACACATCTGGAAAATGCACATTCTCAGTCATTAAAAATATCCAGTCATGGACTCTTTGCAGTTCTGGATATTCATAATTTTACTTCCATCTTTATTCCTTAAGTAGGAAAGGAAAGGGTTTAAATTTAATTGCTGTATTTCTTTATTTTTCTTTAATTCTAAGATGCTTATGTTTACCTGAAGAACCCCCCACCCGAATTTCTTCCCAAAGTTGGTGTAATTACAGTCTCAGGCTTGGCTGGAGTGGCACTGGCAAGACAAGGTAGGAGTTTGCTTATTTTCATTATTGGTGTGATGAATCTGTAGCATGTAAGAGTTTCAATGGTTAGAAGACTTTTCTGAAACGTTGCCAAAAGCCTGTGTAACTTGTATTAAAAACCTCCTTTCTGGTAAATTGAAGGAACATTATTCAATACTACTTTTAGAAGCTGGCTAAGAGCTCACAGAGCAGGATTGGCCAGATTAATGACACAGTTGTTCTTCTCATTTTTCACAATATTGGAAAGCCTAGTTCAGAATATCAGCATCTCCTTGCACATATAGTAATAGTTGTGTTTACCTGCTACAATTACTTAGCTTTACATTTCATTATTATTGTCTAATTATTCAAAATATTTGGCTTTATACAGGTTCTAGATTTAAGAAAATTGCTTATCCATTGGGACTTACCACTGTAGGGTTTTCTGTGTGTTACCCAGCTCAGTCAGTGGTCATTGCTAAGGTAAGTTTACTTGTATTTGAATATTGAATTAACAGTGAATTTGGTCATAGCATTCCCATTTCATTTGAATTAAGCACTGTGGGATTGGGAGTCAGAATCCACATGCATCTTCATTAAAACATATAGTGCATCACAGGTGTTAATTGCATGGCTATAAAAATCAATAAAGGACTGAATTTAAAAGTACAGTCTCTGGATTTTTAACTGTCATTTCTCAAGTAAACGAAGATTATTTTATCTGATGAAATAAATGTAAATAAAAAATAAAGCCTTGATGAACTTCACAGAGATGCAGTTTGAGATGCTGCACAATTACCTCCCTTGTCAGAATTCCTTGTTTTCCAATTACTGTCATCTTGCCATTGTCTACCTGATTAGGGCTTAGCTGTTTATGTAGAAAAGCAGAACCTTATTTATTATTTTGTGTGCAAGAATTGTTTGCACCCAGTACTGTTCTGCACAAAAAGTAAATTGAAAAGTCTTCCAGTGTTTCCCTGTTTAGAAAAGCACATACTGCTCCATAAGAATTCCTTGTAGCTCCTTGAACTCGGGATTTATAGTTTCAAAATTTCACTTCTGTATTAAATGGATGAGACAGGAAAATGTAGTTGGTTGTGTTTGATTCTAGGACTTACCAATCTTTTAGTTAAATGGTGAGGCTTAAGTTTTGACAGAAAGATTTGTGAAACATTATCCTGAAATCTGACTGGGAAAAATCTGGGCCAGGGCATCTCCTGGGACTTTTTGCTTTTCTCTTTCTGTGTTTGATCATTTCCAACTTAGTGAGACAAGTTTGGATCCTTTCAAACTGGCATTCAGCCTGTTGTGCCAACACTGCACACTGTTGGCAACAAAACAACGTTGATTTCATTTGGAGTTGAATTTGGAGGTGAATTTAGCGTGGGAATGTTACCTGTGGATTTCTAATACCAATTTAAGCATTATTTGGGATTTGCTTGATGTAAGAGAAACAGGCAGTAGATCTTGAAAAGTAGATGATTCAAATGTCTTGGTGTGGGGCCAACACGTTCTCATGCAAATGTGATGAATTGCATTTGAATCACCTGTGTATTTTTGTATTTTTAGAGCTGTTGTAAAATTGTTTTTCTAAAACCATAGGTAACAGGGAAGAAGTTACTTTGTTGGAGTTGTCAGATCTATGAGGCTGTGAGATCACTGTGGGCAGAAAAGGAACCTGTCACCAAGGTAGGACTTGTGAAGTGCTGGCAACTCATACATTCAGAGGGAGAAAAAACCTCTTTATATTGACCTATTGCATATGGAAAATTTATCCTGGGTTTTGACATTCTCTTCTCCAGGATAACCTTTTCTTACAGAGGACACTTTCTAACCGTGACATAATTCTTGTTCTCCTCTGAATTTTCTCTAGTTTCTCTGCTTCTTCTCCGTCTTTAGGGGATTCTGTGTGGTGTTTGTGGTTTTTTTAAAGTGAAGTGGTCAAAATAGGTCATAGTAAACCAGCTGAGGCCTTGCCAACAGTGAGTAGAGGGGAATATTAACCCCCTGTAAATCACATCTGGAATTTGGGTTAGTGATCCCACAATTAAATGTGTTTCTTTCTGCAACCTGAGTTTTTTCTCAAGTGGAAACTTAAAAACCCTTGACAAAAGTAGCACTTCTCTGAGTAAAATTTCAGCTTTGCACATAATTTTTTTTTTGATCTTTTCAAAGAAAATGAAAGTTTCTCAGTTATATTGGCATTTAGAAGAATTTTGCTTTAAATTTACAGTGCTTATTGTTATGTAGCCCTCACCTTTTATTTCCTCTGAGGAGCCCAAATGGAATCCTGAGTTTTGTGAATGACATTCAGATAACTGGCATTAAACTGAGAGTGAAACAAGAACTGATGTGGTACAGACAGTTTCTGTTAACTTCATCTTTTTTCCCTGAGTGAACCCTGTTCCCAAAACATATTATTTTTCATTAGTAGGGTGTTACTATGATTTATCTTTCCTTCTTCTGCTAACTAGGGGTAGTTAAGTGTTCTGTAAAAACTCATTGCTGTTTCAACCCTGTGTAAGGCTTGAGGTTCCTGGGCTGTAAATGAACTTGTGAAGTACTTTGAGAGCCTCAGGTGACAACACAGTATCAGACTTAAATATATACTCATGACAAATTCCTTTTCTCGTGATAATCAAGTTATTCTGGCTGATCTGTGGGGTTCTTCCATGCATTTCATTTTTTTCCAGCTGGGTTCCTTGTGTGCACCTGACTAGCTGAATATCACTGGATGATGTCATATCTGAAAATAATTTCATAAAAGAGAAGCTTCCAGGTTGAAAGTTTGATTTGATAATAATGCATTAAGCATATCCCCATGTGCTTTCTGTTATTAATGTTTGGTTCACAGCTGCAGCCAGAGTCAAAACCAATTACACAAGAAGATAAGAAGAAAGGAGTTTCTAGTAACAAACCTGAGTCTGCTGTTGAGTCAAGATCATTGAACAGAACAGAATCTTCTCCAGTAGAGTCTTGGAGTAATAAAGATCCAGTGCCTTCATCAGGTGAATTAAATGTTTCAAGTGTAATCTCAGGGCAACTTGCAAATCCAATTAGTTGACTTAATTTTGTAGTTACTCTTGCTCTAAAATGGAGCAGACTGTCACTGCATATTATTCTTGAGAGTATATTCTACACCCTCTCATTTAATACATATTTCAGAGCCTCAGGGAGGAGATAATTTTCTCACTGTGGACCCTGTCACAGTATCAGAATTTTTATATATTTGCTGTTCACTCAATAATGTCTGAGAACTGACATTAATGAAAACCAGCTTCTTTTGTAGGCCAAAATAAGGAATAATTCCAGTGCAAAACTCACAGAAAGGTTTTAATTTGGATCATAACTAGAAGGTTGAAATCTCAAATGGAGTTCTTGACTTTTAGCCTTTGCCAACAATCCAGAGATGACACACAGTGGAATGGAAAAGAGGAATGTGTAATTGAGAGATGAAGTATTGGATTTTATTTTGCAGGTTTTCTGCAGGGGTTCTTTGTGCATCTCAAGTGGTTGAGATAATCAGCTAGATCATGTGACAGCCTACTTACATCCAAATATTTGATAGTCCAATTGGTTACAGAAAATAGTGGAATTGCCTATTAAAGGAGAACTAAATTTGTTTTAAAATATTGTTACCTTTGTAAGGGCAGTTTCTGAATTTTGTTACTGAAACCTGTTACTTCTCTTTATTGTGTTCTTTACCAGAGCTTTTTTTTTTATCCTGGAAAAGAAGCAGAATGTATTTGAATGGGGGGTTTTAATATTTTTTTTTCACTTCGTTACATTCACATCTTTCCTTTGCACCTGTATTTTTTCTGATTTAGTTTGTGGAATGCTTTGATGCATTTTTACATTTGCTTCAGGCCAGACTGTCTTTAATGGTTTTGTGTATGTAGATCTCTTCTGTCTCTGCTTTCACAGGTGGAATTAGTTCATGTCCCTAATATAGCCAAAAATATCCATGCCCTAAATTAATCTGTGTTGTCAGAGATGTTTATTTTCTCTAGTCCAAATGGGGCAAAGCTTTCAGGAGAACACAGCACCCTTTGTTAAACCAAGGGATGTAGCTGGAAAAGAAGCAGCCCAGGAGCAGGAGGCACAGCCCTGGAAAACCTGCCTTAATATTCCCTTCAGTGCTGGAATTGCAGTGTTATTAAATCTGTCAGTCTGTGCCTAATCATTCAGAGTGAGTGTGAGGGCTCAATGTTTTCAAAAACTTAGTTCAAGGCTTTTGGAAGTGATGAAGTGAAAGTAGGTAAGAGTGTTTGTCTTCATCTGGAATTCTCACCATCTGGCAGCAGCTTCAGGGAAGATCCTGACTGGGCTGGTTTTGGGAGACAGCTCTGCTCCTGGGAGAGCAGAAAGACTGGAGATATTTTCCATGCCTCAAACTTCCCTTCCTTTCCATGTGTAGGGCAAAGCATCACTATTTCTTCTCTCACTCTGCTGTGTTCAGGAAGTGGTGTTGGAGAGAGGGTGGGAGGAAGTCCTGCTCTCCATCCACTGCTGTATGCTCATAATTCCAACCCCTTTGCCTTGTCCAGAGTTTGAACTAGAACAGACAGATTTTGATCTTTTGTAAGTGTCTGATAATACAGAAATTCTCAAAATGTGTCATTAAGCTTTTTTCCCCTACAGCTCAAATACATGTCTATTTTTAATTACATTTTTTAACATCTCTAACAGGAACAGTGAAGACACCAAAATTTAAGCCTGATCCCAAACTTATGGACCATGGACAGTCCAGCCCAGAAGATGTGGATATGTACAGTACTAGAAGCTAAGCCAAGCCTGCTTACAAACTGCAAAATGTCACAGATAAGGGGGAGGGAAGAAGGGAAGGAATAATCCTTACAATACATACTCTGTGAGGTATAATTTAATCAGACATTTTCCTATCTCAGTTTGCATTATTGACTTCCATGATTCTGTTTAGTGCATATTTTATTTCTGACTGAGAATTCACTCAGTGCCATTAGGGAGACACCGAGAAAATGAGGTTTGTCAGTGTCTTCTCCCAGTGAGGTTTCTCTGTGCCAAACTTGTTAATAAATGTCACTTCACAAAGGATATTTGGAAATGTAAACATATCTCTGCTTCGGCTCAGATGTTCATTGATCTGAAAGAGGAATGTGAGGGATGGGGTTTGCACAAAGGCTTCTTTGGCTGCTTTCTTTCAGCTCTGGAATGAAGTGCAACTTCTTACTGGTCTGAGTACCCCTGACAGCTTGTGGTTATATTGTATGAACAGCATTGTTTTTAATGCTTCTGTAAACTTTTTTTCATTGCAAAATAATGTGATGTTGTTTGCCTCTTTCACAAAGGTGAATGGAAACAGCTCCTTGTCCTGCTTCTGAGGTTTTTAAGTGTCACTGAAGGTGGGAAAAACACACAACTGATCTCTAAACATCCTTTATAGACCGTGAATCACTTTTCACCTGCTTCCAGTACTTTGAAGAACTGTGTGTAAATTGCTCAATCCATGAAAGTGATACTGAGATTATATAAAATCCATTAGCAACTTTTAGGATGTTGGAAACCTGTAATTTCAAGGTGTTAAGTGCTGACAGATATTAAAAATACAGAAGTAAGAGACAGCCAACTTTTTCTCCCCAGAACTTTGTATGCAATACCCATTGACCTTGGGAGGATTTCTGTAATGTTCTTTTTCCATAAGAATGAGATTAGAAATTCATTAAGTTTCCTTAATGATGAAACTATCAAACGTTACATTTATCATTGTGTTTATTGCTCTAGTTCTGTTCATCCTCCATTTCTCTTCATTCTTTTTTCTGCCAATTCATGAAATTATGGGCTTTGCTATAAATTAGAGGTGGAAGCAAGAACAAATTATACAAGCAGATAGGCTAAAACCTGAAATGCTGCTTCATATGGATGTGTTCTCAGCACTGGGATGTGAAGGGATGTTTGCTCCTGTTCTCCATGAGAAGAGATTTCACAGCCTGATTCCTTCTTCCAAGGCTGCTGATGCCAAGGCAAATGACTGGTGACATACAGGGAAACAGAATTCCCAGTGTCCCTGTGGAACCAGCAGGAGTTGTGAGGAGATGCTGCAGGATGGAATGTGCACAAGTGGTGAATGAGCAAAAGAAGTACTAAAGCTTTTGTGATGGTTCAGAAAGAGATAAGTATTGGTATTTTAGAATCCAAATTTCAGGCACCATGTCGGACTTTGTTACACAGGGTCCACTGGAAAGTGAAGTCAGTAAATGTGAAGTTTAAAGACGAGGAGTTCTATTAGTTCAGCTTGTTTGGGACAGCTGACTTAGGATTTGATGTGTTTTGTTTATTTAATCATCTCTTAAGGCCCAGGAATTCAGGCAGCAATCAGAGGATATTAAATCAGTCTTCAGAGAGCTCCTGGACAAGACACATTTAGTGTTTCATCACAGAGAAAGGAGTAGAAAAATTAGATGGCTGGGCTTCATATGCCATTTCCAGGTGAAGACATAAGGCAGGAAGTGGAAATGGTGGAGAAATTATGATTTTCAAGTGCAAGACTGGATGGCAGAAATTGTATTATGTCTCCCTGTGATCAGGTTCTGGTTAAAAAACATAAAGGAAAACCCATCTCCTCTACTCCTCGATTCTGTTAAATTCTAACTGCCCTTTGATGATGTGCTTCCACAAGTCAACAGGAAAGGTAAGGGGATGCAGATTTGGTTGGATTTTGTAGGAGTTTACTGTGGTGAGATTTTTCAGGATATAGTGAAAAACTATGACTAAGGGTTATAGTAATAATATAACAAGGACTCCTGGGAGCAGAGAGAGAAGCCACCTTGGGTACCTGTTAGGGAGCCAGCATGTCTGCCCTTTCCAGGCAAAGAGAAGTGCCAAAAGCTGCTTTGGGCCTTCCCAGACTTTGAGGGCATTTCCATTCCAGCCTTGTGACACCAGTGCAGTGTCTGGTCTGCACAAGGTCCTTTGGCTCCTGGGTGGTTGGGCAGACAAGACTCAGGTGTTCTATGCAAACAGCTTGTGTTACACCCCCTGATTCTGCAAGTTGTTCATGCTGTGCATGGCCATGGTACACAAAGCTGTCCTCAGGCTGTATTTCAGTCTCAAATTACTGCTCAGGACAAAACTGTAATAGACCTACACCTCAGAGTTAAATCAGCATTCCAAAGTCTTACAAACATCTTCTGGGACATAACCTAAAATTGTTGTTCCTGCCCACTGTGGTGAATGAGCAGGATGAGGGATGCAGCCCTAGAGCCCACAGAATGGTGTGCCTGTGCTGAGTCATTTCTTGGTGGGTAAGAGCTGTAAGCTCAGCCCAGGGTTTCCCAGGTGGCTGCCCCATCCCTGGAGGTGTCCAAGGCCGGGTTCTTTGGGGTCCTCAACAACCTGGTTTAGTGGAAGGTGTCCCTGCCCATGGCAGGGGATGGAACAAGATGGTCTGTAAGGTCCCTTCCAACCCAACTAATGATGATATTAGTGTCACTTCTTAGTTTTTCCATCAGCTGAGATTTCTCCTTCTCATCCTTCTCTACAAGGCAGGGTAATTTTCTGTTGTTTCGTTTGTATCAACAGTTTTTGTTTAATATCCCTCCACAGTTGAAAAGCTGGGCTAAGATTAGAGGCTTGGGTTTTAGGACTGAAACACATCCAGCTGAAGAAAACTGTTCCCTCTGTGCAGCCAGAGAAAGTGGGACAAAAGTGTGGAAGGTTTTGTATTCTGTGTGGTGTGTTCTGTGCTTTCAGGTCAGACATCTGAGCCTCCAGGGTTTATATAATACTCTACAGGTGACTTGTTCCAGGTAACTGCAAGCAACTGTAGCCACATGTCTGTATTAGTAATTTCTAGTAAAGGTGCTATGCAATGGCTTTAAAAAAGCAAATTCAGATCTCCATGATGCCATGGCTTGTGAGTCTTCAGTGTAAATATGTGCCTGACTTGATCTCTTCAAGACTTCAGACCCAATAGGCAAATCTGTTACAAAGAAAACGTAAGATGGGGGGAAAAGTTGCATTGTGAGACATGGTTTTATTAATTTATAGTGAAACAGTTTGAAATGTCTCTAAAATGTATCACTTAAAGTCTATTTCATAATGCAATAAGACAGTAAGAACATATACAGTAATTTTTATATGTTATATATTTGTGAAAAATTCAATGTCTTAAAGAACTGGGTCACGTGTATTTTCTAATACAGAAATAACTTTAATGCGTTTTTTTTTATTTATGATTGATTGTATTCGATATAGGGAGATTTGGAACTTGTTGATATTAATTTTTTATTTACATAAAACTGATTGTGATACTTTATTTTGTCATATCGCTGTGAAGCACCTGGAAATAAAGGGTGATAAGACACTTTTTAAAAATTAAGTTGAACTTCTGTCTGTTGTCTTATCTGTAGGACAAATTGTCAGTTCTTTTCCTCTTTAAGAATTAATTTGATAAATGTAACTAAGTCACACCTGGGGAAACAACTTCACCCTGAAGTACTGAAACATTCCTGGAAGAAACCACTGAAATAACAGACAGGACATATTAATGCTGAACGTCTTAAATTTTGAGAAGTGCTTCCATTTTCTTTCCTTAGTGTTTCCTTATAAAGAATTCTGTAGCCCAGGACTTGGACAAATGAAGGCTTTTTCCTGCTGGAGGAATGGCTCACACTGGTAAAGACTGAGGCAGATAAATGTGTTTATCTCGGTGTGGCTCTGTGCTAATCTTCCAGGTAAAGTCATTTGCCAGGCCAATGGTGTAACCTGCAGTGTGAACCACTCAAAAGGAGACAAACTGTGTGAGTAAGAAACGTGGCTGTTTTAATGGCACATTGTCATTGTGATTCTTCAATAACTTAGGAAAGAATTACTGTGAAGGTATTTTAATGCATCAGTGTAGTTACGTTGTAGTGAAAGTTTGGAGTGTTTCTGAATCACACTGAAATACTGAAAATGTATTTTAAATCCAAAAAGAAAGTGGGGTCCTACAAAGCCTTTACTTTTTATAAAGGAGTATCAATATGCACTAGACTGTGTGTAGTTTTTATTTTAAATTGCAGGGATTCCACGAAGCAAAGCTCAGCCCTGTGCTGATGGTAAACTGCAGTCAAGAAGGGCTGTGACTGAACACATGGCAGAAATCAGCATTTTATTTACCCCACCACAGCACTGCTGTGCTCTTCCTGTAGCCCAGAGCCAGAGTCCAAACCAGAGTGGGGTCCTGAGGTCCCTGTGGGGCAGAGTCCCACCACCCTTGTCCAAGGTGCCGTTCTTTGCCCTTTTGTGAACGGCTGTGGGAGATGGATTTTTGCTGCAACAACTGAAAGGAATTGCTTGTGTTTCCCTTGCTGTGAGCAGGGAGTAGGTCTGAACTGAGCCTGTGCTGGTTCTACGTGTTGGGAACCCTTCCTGTGCTGTATCTGTAGCACTCCCAGTAGCAATATTTGAGGACTCCGTAGCTTGTGTTCTGTTTGCGCTGCCCTCAGAACCCCTGCAAAGCTGCAGGAGTGGAGGGTGTTCTCCAAAGCCATCTTGAACCACATCTAAAATTAATTAAGAGTAAAGCTAATGAGCAGTTGACCATCTTTCACCATTCATTTTGGACAGTAATTTTGCTTCAGTTATAGCTCTGTATTTGAGGAAGTGAGATCAGCCTTGATTACTGTACCTAGTCTAGTCAGAGAATGCATAACTTGGCACTAGATTCTGCTGTGTTCCAGAAACTCAGACAAGAGGAGGAAATGGGTGTGCTGTGAAATAAAAAGCTCACAGCTGTGTAGGTCTGTTGGCACTGGGTTTATTTGTTGTTACCCAAGTGAGCACTAAAAAGGAAACCTGATGGGCTCTGCAGCCCTTCTGTGGGACCATGTCCAAACCTGCTGTGTTCATAAATGCCAAAGGTGTAACAAAGTCACGAGTTTGGGGGTTGTGATCTGCTTCATTAAAACATCTCACCCAAGTAAAAACTGCAAATTGCATTTCTGCATCTTTGAATGAAATCTCAAAGCCCCAGGTCAAGGTGTTTGTTCCTCACCCAGCCTGAAGCGCCGGCACTCAGCAGCTGTGAGCTGGAGCCAGAGCAGAATTCCCTGTGAGCCACAAGAACAAAGCATCTGTGTGAACTGGTTCTTCACACTCCTGCCTTCATCTGAAGAAGGATCATGCAATTTCTTTTACTGAGGTCTGTGTAATTTCTCTGATCCTGGGCGTTGTACAGCAATCTTCTGGCAGAGCTGAGAATCTCTTATCCCCTGCTCTAAAATTAAGTGCTGTTGGGCTTTCAGCCAGAGCAGTATTCTTTAAAGAATTTGCTAGGCATTGATTTTCAGAGATCATTATTTATCCTCTGAAAGGTAAAGGTTAAAGTTTACCTTTTGCTGTTAATGTAACTGTGGTTGGCATGTTTGCATAAGCAGCCAGCTCTTGTCAAATTAGGAAATCCACATCGGGATTTTATCAGTGGTGGAGAAACTTGGAGGGCACCATCCTAAAAACACTTGTGCCAACTGAAACTGCAACACAGTTCCCCTCCCACAAACTCTGGGCTGTCCTGTACAGTGTTCAGGAGGACAAATCATTCACATAGAAGTGACCACATATTGAAGACCTCGTGCAGTGAATGTTGAGAATATTAGAGAGACAATCTTTAAATAATAAAAAGGCCAGATGACAGTTTGAGGGTGTGCTAAGGTATCAGTTTCTGTTGTCATTCATCATTGCCAGAGGGGGACTTTCCATTCTCTTCTCAGAAAAGTGAAAAATTAACCAATAAAACTTAATGGTAGATGCATACAATGACAGGATTCCCTCCTGGCCCTGCCTCATCCCTGTTAGTTGGCTTCAGGATCATGTCTTTGGCATGTCTTTAAAAACAACATCTGTTCCAGGAACTTTGTCTTCAAATACATTCCAAGTGTGTTGTCTGTAAAAGGTAACATAACCCTAAAAGGAGAGTAGATAAATGCTCCTGACAGATACCTCAGTCTGTTGAAACTTATGTCCTTAAATGAATACTTTACATATGTATTCAAAAATTCAGAAGTAGCAAGATTAATGAGACATTTTTATGGAACTGCCCAGTTTTTGTAAAAGAAAATATGCTGGATAAGTTATCAGGACGTTTCTATCAGCTTTAAGTTAATTAGTAATTCTTCATAGAGAAGGATGCTGTAAAACAAGCTCAAAATCCATGATCCTTGACTCTGCTACAGTAGCAGAAAGGAGAGCTCATTCTGCTGCTGGCAGAGTCTGGAAGAATCAGTGTTTTATCCCAGTTGGCTCCAGGATGTCCTTTCTGGAAGTCTTGCTCTGTGTCCTGTTCCTGGGCAGCGGATCCCTGGGTGAAAAAGGAGCTCTAAAACGTAAGACATGGTGGGATTTGATTTGATTGTCAGGACAGGGGGGTGTCCATGTCCATCCACTGTGGGAGTGCTGCTGTGGCACTGCAGTCCCAATGGGAATTCTCCTTATGCCTTAGGTGGAGTTTATTTTAAATAACAGGAAAACAATGTAAATGGAGAGACCTTTGACAGCTGCCTTCCTGTGTTGTGTCATAATTCTTGAGTTCTGTGCTGCCAAGAGCATATTCTATAGAGACCTAGATGTGTTCTGGCTTTCACCTGTTACTCTGTTCTTCTGCACATCAAAAAGGTCCCGACCATATGAGTTACAACTGAAATACTCACGGTTCTGGTGGCTTTGAATCATTTTGAGTCAGTCTCTCCATGTCAAAATTGATGTTTTTAAATGAGTTGAATGCCTTGGTTCTTTTTCAGTAGGAATACTTTGTATAGAGGTTAAAGAGAGGTCTTTTGAGAACAAGTATTCTTAGATTTTTTGATACAGAGAAAATCATCAGTAATTAAGAGCATGACAAGAATGCATTGAAAGCTAAGTCGTTTTAAATAAGAAACTAATTAATATGGAATTGTCTATGATTCTCTTATAGTATACAGTATTGGTCAGATTTTTTTTTATTGGGAGGATTTTCTACTGATTGATTTTATATATTCATTTATTTTATCATCACTGTCACTGTTCTTTACCTGGTAGCTACCAGTTGCTAGTAACCAGCTATCACTAACCTGACAGTGATGGAAACCAGCTGCAGGTACTATTGTCTAGTTACTAGTTTTGGTTTGTGATCTGAGGAATTTTTTTCTGCTGCTTTAGCCTTTCAATCACCAACAAAAAGTTCCCACTTGAAGGCTAACTTTGCATTTATATAGACTCGAGTCCTGTGAAGGGCTCAGCAGTGAGTTCCTCAGTGACATGGAATATTAGAGCATTAATGTCCAAGGGCACACACTCCCTCTCTCCCCAGCACAGTCACAGCTGGTTATTTTCTGCTCCCTTAGTATTTTTTGAAACATTGCTAAAAGAATTGTGATTATGTTACTGTTGCTTATCTCCTAAGCCATACCAAATGCTACTTGAGACTTCATTGTTCTGGGCTTTATAGGCGTAACATGGGATCTGTATTGAAGTTGTCTTGGAAAATGCTTCAGTGCTTGATGCAGTACATGAAAATAGATTTGTGCAAATGCAAGCCTTGATTCACTGTGTAATCATTTAGATTTATCTCTGGTTAGCAGGAAATGTTGGATTAGATTGCCTTGGAGACTGGGGAGAAAGGAGGCTCCCACCTCTTTTTGAAATCAAGACTGCTCAGAGCAGAGTTTCTCTAGCTAATAAAGCTTTAGTCAGGAGTTTGTAGTTCCCCTGCTCATGGTGTGAAATCCCTCTCACAAAAGCAGCAACATTAGGGATGCTCTGATACTCCTTGCTTCCAGTCAGTTCTCTGGGGGGCTCAGAAGGATCTGCCCAGAGATCTTTCAGTTCTGACTCTCTGGCTTCATTCTAAATGTGTATCCTCTCACTGGGAACAGTTATGACAAATTATACTCAGCTGTGTTGGCTCTTTGGGGCTTTTTTTGAGTATTCAGGTTGGTGCTTGGTGTTGAGTCCAAGTCCTACGTGGGAGAGAAACAGGTAGCAAAGAGTGCAGGGTGTGAGGGACAAACCTGGTGATGTTTGATGTCTGCCTAAGGCTGCTGAGGAAGGTGTTTTAGCCAGTCACACACCTGTGGATATGTAAACACTCAGCTTCTGGATCATGATTTACAGCCCACGATGTTTACACAGCAAAGGAGACAGATAAGAATTGAATTAACACAGACCAGATCCTTTTGTAGGCCAAAATAAGGAATAATCCCAATGCAAAACACACACAAAGGTTTTAATTGGGATTATAATTAGAAGGTTGGAATCTCAAATGGATTTCATGATTTTCAGCCTTTGCCAGCAATCCAGAGGTAATACACAGTGGAATTCAGATACAACCACACTTAAATGATGTGATAAAAATCATCATAACACACAATTTACTGGGCAACTGGGAGATGGGTGCACATTCAGGGTAAAGTAATTTAAGCAGGTAAATCTTCATTTCTCAAATAATTTCAAAAATTTCCAGGGGCAAGGCACTGAAAAGTAAGATTTAGTATCATCTAGAGTATGTCATGAAGCTTAAATTTCTGGTGCCATTAGCAATCCAGCCCAGTGACAGTATGTTACTGGATAATTGCATTAATTACTTGATTTGTTTTAATTCACAGCCAACTGCAGTGGAGTTGAGAACTTTCAGGCCTGCCTGGGTAACACAACTCAATTCTGTCCTACTGATTTTCCTTGTCTGTGTAAAAATGAAGAACCTTTCTGCAGGTAGGGTGTGGGGTTGGTTTGTTTAAATATACACTGTGTAAATGTCAAATATATTCTTAAGGATGAACTAAATTTAGACCCTGCAATGTGATCCACGAAAGTAGATGTTGATCTTCATTCACAATCTGCATAAGTTTGTAACTCTGGTACAAAGCATCTGGGCTCAGAGTTTTCTTTTTAAAAACAAGTAATTCCCAATGATCACTGTAATCCTTAATTTTCACATGCTTCTTCTTGTCTCAGATATTTTACTTTAGAACTGCGTTCATTTTTTTTCCCAGGTTGATCAAATTTTCTTTAGAGTTAAAAAACCCCAAATAGGATACCTTAATGTTCTATTCTCCATTATACAATTGGTTTTTTCCTTTTAAAAAATCAGTGTCATAATGACAGATATCACTGTCACGTTTCACTTACATCTGCAGAGTCTGGAAATTCAGCACTTTTGTCATGTTTAGAGCTGGCACAGGGATCTTAGCCCTCAGTCATGCCATGACTTGGGTACTGCACCCTGTTCCCAGAAAAGCTTATTATCTCCTCCTGAAATGCCAAGCTGGACTTGTTGCCCCAGAACCTGGCAAAGTGCTTTTGCATCAAATCTGGAAAAAGATGTATGTTACTAAGAAAAGTAACACCTTCAGGCAAACTGGAAAAGCAGTGAATCTCTTGGCCCCTGCAGTATTCAATAATAAATAATTATATAGCAAAATATTTTATCTTTTTTGGGGTATTACTTACTTTTGAATTAAAATGGTGTTGCTGAAAATGAGTATTTTTGTTTGCAGATGTAATTACTTCAGAGTGGGCTGGAAGGACTACTGGTACATGGGCCCCAAATGTAACCACCTTTGGAACACTCTAGATTTCATTTTAGTGGCTACTGTTCCTGCAGTAGCACTGGTTATCATAGTGACTGTAATATTTTCCTGTTTCTACTGCTGTAAAAGTGAAAAACCTGGGTAAGTGACTTTGGGTGCAGATAGAAGGGGTTTTATATGGAAGGAAAGCAAAAGGAGTCTGGTATTCTGGTTAATTTTTAACCTCTGGATATTTAAATGGACAAGGTTGCCCTGAACCATCCTCTGCCAAAATACTGTTTGTACAATTTAAAACTAAATCAAAGCATCTTCCCTGAGCACTCAACACTTACTCAGCATTTTACTACTACGTGTAGAACTTCACTTTGAGTCATTGCCTCTTTTCTTTAGGGCTCACCAGACAAGCTTTAAAGATTGATAAGTCCATTTGCTACTTAAACTCGAGACTACCAGATGTGTCTTTGTGATTTATTTGCTCTTAAGGATTGGCTTGCTTTCCACAGGTTTAGTAAAAATGGAATAAGGCCAAAACATGGACAAGAGTTTGGGCAATTAAACTCAATTCCTCCCGTTCTTTGGTCTCTGACTTTGGCAATTGGAGCTGCTTTTTGCTTCCAACACTTTTTTTTCCCCCACTGATACCTCTCCCAAGTACATAGACAGTATGGGTTTTTTTCTTTCACTGAGCCCCAGTAATGTGTGTCATAGAAAAGCTGTAATAATACATAGCTCTTGTACAGCCACTGCCACGGGTCATCTGAAGCTGTGCCACGGCTGTTGAACCAATCTGCAGGACAAAAACATTTGTCAAGACCCTCAGCACTGCTCATGCTCTAAATTCCCACTGTTCCCCCCTGCAGGAAGCAGCCAAACTCTCCCTACCTTGAGGCACAGCACAACCCTGCCTTCAGTGCTGACACACCCACCCACCTGGGGCACAGGTACCCACAGCCACCCAGGGTAAGAGATGGGGGGGCACACCACGTGTTCCTGAGGGGAGCCAGGCAGGGGGTGTGATTCAGAAGAACAGTACATGAATAGCAAAAAGAAAAGGTCATCTGGTAAAATTAAAGGTACTCCAGGTTTAAAATCTCCCTAGTATTTGATTTCCAAGATCAGCTGAATGCACATGAGAAGGTGAAACTCTTCAAGATTCCTGTGAGACAGAGTAGAGTGTTTTGCCAGGACCACCTTTGTAGTCTGTGATGGAGCTGGGATTTGAGTTTTGGTCCTCAGAGGACCAGCTGCTGCCTTTGGGGCCAGGGTCACCCTCTGCTGGGCCAGTTTTCTCCATTAGACAAGATGTAGTAGAGATCATTGCTTGAACTAATGGAAAAGATGGATAAATGCAGTTAAAAACCAACACGAAATAAAAAGAAACACGAAAGGGAGTATATTTGTGTGTGTTCATTTGCTAATTCAGTAGTTCAGGTGATTATTTTACATATTAAGGAGTGCACAGGGTGTGACAAGAATACATTGTGGGCTGCCTGAGAAAAGAAAGAAAGGAATCTATTCTGATCCATTATTTTCTGTTAAATCTATCTGTAAAGCATCATTATCTTGGCAGTGCAGCAGCCTGATCCTGCCTTCACCAGGAGATGGTGCTGTTTAATTTTGAACTAGTTCAGAATTTGGTTCAGCTAATGCTGTTTTCGAGGTTAATAACTGGTTTACTTAATTGTGCAAAGACTTACCTGGGTGGGTGTTCCTCTGTTATATCTATATAGACTATATAATATACAGTCTACATAGACTTTTCTACCGAGTCTTTTAGATAAATTGAATTTTTACATTTGAAAATGTGAACATAACAAACATTATATTTTGTAAGTGCTGGATTGGTTTATAACTTCCAACACACTGTACCTGGTGGGCTGGGGTTTGTCATTTGTTGTCATTTTGCTCTGTGTGACCACCCGATCCTCTCCATCAGGATCAGGATGGCTGGGGTGGGCAAATTCCAAAAGCTTCACTGAGAAGACAAGATTTTGATGAAATCTCAATCCCAAGCCAAAGAGGGAATTACAGGTATGCTGCTGTTTTTCTGTATTATTTGCTCATTTTCACTTTATACTTTGGCTTGGAGACTCAGAATGACTTTGTAGCTTTGCCAGTGGCACAGCAACCAACAAAGGTCCAGTAAATGGCAAAGCTTTTGACTGGACTATTCACATACACTCCCATACATAAATCCTAAAGTACTGATTTATCCAGGGGCTTCTATGGTTTTCCTCTAATAATTCCAAACATATTCCTTTTCATTACTTTTAGAAACACACTTTCCTTGGTTGTGCTTCCTCACTTTGACCCTCCCCATTATCCAGCCAACTGTTGCAGAGTTGCAAGTTTTGCAGAGGTGTTGCCTCAATGCAGTAGTGAGCTTTAATATTTTTACATTTCAGTTTAAAGGAACACTTTGTGCAATTTGCAGGGTATTATAACACAGGTTTTTAATAACCTTTTTCTCTTTTGCACAGTTCCATGTATTCTCAGCCCCTGAGGAGACCAGATCCAACCACAGACCGCTTCTCTCTGCCCAGGCCCCAGTGGGAAGGATTTGACTATCCCAGCAAGAATTTGCCTCCTGCAGATTATGCAGGGGGGAGACAATATCAGGTACATATTAATTACATACCTATGCATACTAATTACATACCTATGCATATAGATTATTTAATCATCTATCTTGGTGCTAAATAGAAATCAAAGCCACTTTTTCCTATGTGGGTGTTTTCTTCAGGAATTTTACAGAACTGCCCCTGCTGAAATGTTTTTAAATGTTTCAAAACCTGTTTCAGTTTGTGTGGACACAGTCCTAATACATTCAGTTATTTGTGTGAAAATCACCTCCCAAAGCTCCTCAGAAGCAGCACATACTAACAAAAGAAATATATATAAATGTAGTTTAATTAGATCAATTATTTTAATAACATGCAGGAGGGTGTGTCATGCTACTAATTTAATTCTAATTTCTTTACAGAGATACTAAGAACAAGTGCTTGCTATATCAGAAATATCTTGGAATGCTGCTGATCACTGGGAAATCCAGATGCTGAGAGAGCAGTGAGACCCTGTGGATTGGGACACAGAGGAATTGGCCATCACTATTAGAAAGCACTAAAAGTTATTGCAAAGAAAAGGTACAGAAGAAAATTATAAACCAAAACATGATATTACATGATCTTAGCACCTGATTGTTTACTCTGTAATTGGTGACAACTCTTTGTGAATGCCTGACATCACAGTTCCCAGAGCTGCTGCTCAGTATTGCTGAGGTGGTTGCACATCTGTTGGGACACAGGTTCTTTGGGATTAACCTCGTGCCCTGTGCCTAAATGACAAGAAGTCCCTGTCACAAGAAGCTGCCTCAGAAGACACTCATGCTGTTTACAGGGCCATGAATTTCTCTTAGCTCTAATTTTGAAGATTCTTCAGGGCACTGTAGCAAGTAGAGCCTGCTGTACCCTGACTGACACTGCTTCACTTTTCCTCTTAAAGGCCAATATTTAAAGAAAGAAAACAAAAAATTACATATAATTCTGAGTTAGAATAGTTTGCCTTTAAAACTTCCATGGCTTGCTTTGTAACTTTTTCTGTAAATGATGAAAATAAATGAAGCTGTGGAAGATTGACTACCTTGCCACTAAGAAATTAAAGAGGCTGAAGTCCTGGATTTACTTCCCATTTTCCAAAAAGTCTGAAGCACATTATATTGAGATTTATATTAGAACACTTTTCCTTAGTGTTAGGTAATATGTGAAAGTATAAGACAAAATGAGAATCGTAAGGTTTTTAGAAAGGTTGGGGGTTTTTTGTTTGGTTTGGTTTTGGTTTTTCCCCCAAAGTCACAAATACCCAAAGTAGGCAAGTTTCACTGGCTTTCACAACAGTCTGAAACTACTGAGGGCAGATTTGCCAACTGTTAAATCACTAATGCTGTCAGAGGAACTTCTCATGGATAGTTGAAATCACAGGCACAAAAATTCATCAAAAAGAATCCAAAGATTTTCTGGATGTGGACTGCTTGCAAACCTGCATTGCAATGTCTTCTGAGAGTGCAGCCAGCTTAAAGTAATGCTTGTGCTTATCAGTGTTGAGAATTTAGTTGCAGGTTAAAGCACAAAGAAGCTGAATGTTCATAGTGGTAACACCTGCAGAGCCAGCTTGAAGCAGCATCTTGTGCTGGAGTCACTAGAGGAGGAAGAGGGAAGGATGTCCCTGCTTTTCCTTGTCTCACCCATTGTCCTTTAACAGACGTGTTCAGTAACAGCATCCTCCTGTCATCCAGCTGGTTTTCAATTTCTATCAGAAATAAGATAAGCGAGAATGGTTCCCTCTCTGTTATCTTCAGAAACACACAGAAATGGTGTTGGCACATCTGTTTAGATCCCAGGCGATTGGTTTAAGCCCTTTTGACCTCAGAAATTCAGATCTGAAGGTGTCAGAGAATTGTGTCAGTGAATTGCCTTTCTCTGTCCCTTCTCAGCCTCGGGAAGTGCCACAATCTGACAAACTGTGGTTGTTGTTGACCTCGATCCAGCTGTTTTAGCAACCTCAGAGTGACCACAGGATTCAAGAGTGTTCAGTTTGATATTCCACCACTCTTTTGAAAAGGCATAGGAGGAAGAGATAAGGCAATGCTGTCACATATCCATGGTGCTGGTATGGGACCCCTCAGCTCCCACTGCCGTGCTGGGTCCATGATGGGGGCTCGGGTGATCCCACCCACACAGCTCTGCCCCCATGGAGACCCCTGGACATGGTGGGGGCACCCAGCAGTCACAGAACAGTTGGGGTTGGAAGGGACCTCTGGAGATCATCCAGTCCAACCCCCTGCCAAGACAGGGTCACCCAGAGCAGGTGACACAGGAACACATCCACGTGGGTTTAGAATGTCTCCAGAGGAGACTCGACACCCTCCCTGGGCAGCTGTTCCAGTGCTCTGCCACCCTCATGGAAAGAAGTTCTTCCTCATGCTGAGGTGGAACTTATTGTGTTTTAGTTTATGGCCATTGCTCCTCATGCTGTTGCTGGGCACCACTGAAAAGAGCCTGGCAACATCCTCCTGGCACCTGCCTTGGAGGTATTTGTATGGATTGATGAGATCCTATCTCAGTCTCCTCCAGGCTGACCAGGCCCAGCTCCCACAGTCTCTCCTCGTAAGAGAGATGCTCCAGACCCCAAATCATCTTTGTGGCCCCTGCTGGACCCTCTCCAGTAGCTCCTTGTCTCTCTTGTGCTGAGGAGCCCAGAACTGGACACAGCTCTCCAGCTGTGCCTCACCAGGGCCGAGCAGAGGGGCAGGATCACTCCCTGACCTGCTGGCCACACTCTTCCCGATGCCCCACAGGATCCCATTGTCCCTCCTGGCCCCTGGGCAAGTGCCAGCTCATGGTGTGGTCACCCCATACTGCCCCAGGTGTGTCTAAGCAATCCCCTACTCAACATCTGAGGTTTTGGGGTCACATTTCTCAGGGATCCACTTCTGCCTTTACATTGCAAACTACCTGGAAATACAGCTCTGGGGTCTGGATTTCTCCCTGGTTGCCAATGAATAAAAGGTGTGCCAAGCCTTGCCCAAGTCCTCCTTTGCTCATATTTGTACAGCAGGCTCTGAATCTTGTGACAAACAGGAATACAAAGTTCCCAAAACAAGTTCTTATGCTTGTCATGAAAAGGTTCATATCTGCATCCTAACTTCTTTTATGTATTAAAATACTATTGTTTCAACCTCATACAGAATCTCACATTTAACAAAATAAGTAGGGGTTCCATGCTGATAAAGAGCTCCACAGAACCAAACCCATGCTCCACGCTATTTAAAGGTTGGGTGTTTTATTCAGGAGATTATCTCACTGCCCTCCAGGGAACAGGTTTGGGGGGTGGGTCCCCGTCATGCTCTCACTGTGCCCCCAGGGTGTGTGCGGGGTCACCCCTCGGTCCCGCCCGGTCCCCTCGGGGGTGTGTGCGGGGTCACCCCTCGGTCCCGCCCGGTCCCCTCGGGGGTGTGTGCGGGGTCACCCCTCGGTCCCGCCCGGTCCCCTCGGGGGTGTGTGCGGGGTCACCCCTCGGTCCCGCCCGGTCCCCTCGGGGGTGTGTGCGGGGTCACCCCTCGGTCCCGCCCGGTCCCCTCGGGGGTGTGTGCGGGGTCACCCCTCGGTCCCGCCCGGTCCCCTCGG